GCGGAGCCACAACCAACCAAGGAGGTTAAATTGGCATCGTCTTCTTCCCTTCTTCCATCTGCTTTCGTGGTCATGTCTTTTCGAACCTTAAAACCCTAAAATGAAGCCCCTAATCGGTTTAATGAGGTGGATAAATATAGAAGTTCACACGTAACTAGTTAATTCCTTATTAAGTTCATTTAATGAGGTGGATAAATATAGAAGTTCCCACATATAAAAAAACTCTAATTGATATCTCACGGGTTTTCCTAATAGACGAGGTTAAACACCCCTCTGGCGCATCTATTAATATGGCCAAACATCTTGCCCAAAACTCATTCAACTAAAAGTAGCGCAGAGGCCCTTTGGTCAACATTGTGTCTGTAACATTATGGGGAAGGAAGTGTAAGTTCTGCAATCCGCTAATGTGTTTTCTTTTAACTTTTTAGTCAGCTATTTCGTTGTATTTGTTCTTATATTCCACTCTCTCGTTGCTTTTTTGTACAATTATATTAGGGAGAAGAACAAGATGACGAGCGGCCAGTCTACTGTACGCCAAACGCGTCCTCTAGCCGAGTCTATGGTTCGTCCAGGAGCTTTAACAGTAGGTTATTTATACAAAACTTATTCTGACTTGATTGTTCATTATTGTAGGAATTGGAGAACTATGTATCTCCTGCAAAGAAAACAAGAATGCAAGACGTCATCCCCCCACCTACACCCGACTCGAAGGTGATTGTTCTTGATGCTGAACCAGGGCTGGAACATTATGAGCTAGGTGTGCAAAACAAACCCCTCACGCCTCCACAAAAATTGTCAATGAAGGTATGTAATCCTAGTGATGTACATATGCTTCCTTTTCGCCCACTATTTTCGTTGTTTTCCTTCGTTCCTTTCTCCGCCACTTGTAATCCTAGTGAAAACCTCTTCTTATTTCCTCTATTTGTTCGTTCTCCATGATTGAAGGGTACCACAAGGTTTGAGCTCCCTACAGCCGTCAACTACAGTGACGAAGAAGTGAGTTTTGCTCACTATATATTTGCAGAAGACCTTCCTCCTGATGAAGCTTTGGTCAAAACAATGATGAAATCATACACCAGGCAGACATTATGGAGCTTATGCCCCGAGTCAAGCGTTGATGCTGATGTAAGTACTTCTGCGAAAAGCCCCTAGTTGACCTGAACGTGCTTAACGACTTTTAATCATTGGATTTTATTTCTATTGTGTTTTAGGTAATTACAGCGTTAGCATGCCACTTGACCTTGGACGAAGTTAAAAGCGATACTGGTCGTGGAAGAAGAGTGTGCTTTCTGCCTACGGAATTGCAGGTAAGTGTTGCTTTTTCTTTGTAATTCTAATTCAGTTTACACAGGGTTGGTTGTTTATTAAGTAAGATTAGTGTTCAATGATTTAACTTCATTTTCCTACCAGGATATGGTCGTTAATTATGGCATGACATCTGCAAAGGCATTAGAGTTATATGATACAAAATTCCTATCAAAAGCTCGTAACTGTAGAAAGGTTATGACTTCTCCACAATTCTTCCTTCTCATTTCTGCTTATTTAGTAGCGGGTTTCACAACATATGTGCGCGTGAATTATGCCTGCCCTTCTGCTTAATTTCTTGAATGAATTATGTCGGAAAACTAATTAGTTAATTGGATTGTTTTCTCGTACCTGTGAAGGTTTGTCTTCCCATGAAAGATATGATGAATGATGAAGGCATCCACTGGTATTTAGCTATAATTTTGATGGACCAGAAACAAGTACACATTCTGGATTCATGCCCATCAAAAGAGCGCCAGACAATCCGTAGGAATGCAGTTAACACAATGGTATAGTTAAAATTTGTGCCATTGAATACATACTTCAATACACGTGTTTGTAATTCAATTATGTGGCATTATATTTTCCAACCAAATTTTGTAATTCATAGGTTACTTTTTGAACGTTGTAGATTGAATTTCTGAACGACTTGTTCGATGCCTTACACAAGGAAGTTCAATCAACATGTGCGCCACCACAGATTAAGGAGTTTTCTTTGACCACTTCTGAAGTTCCTACACAACGACACAAGTAAGAATGTATATTTGGTCATAATTTCACTAGACAAATAAAATATTTGTATCTTACGTAATGCATCTTTCTAAACAGGAATGATAGTGGGATCTGGGTTTGTGTGTGGATGATGGGATCAACTTGGGATGATGAGTATTATATTTGGGTAAGAAATCACCTACTACCTAGGCCCATTTATTTCTACGAGCACATTAAAAAAACTATGTCAACTATTGTATTAATACGTTATATTTTCTGTCCTTACAGCCATGCAATCATTTGAGAAGAATGCAGGTGGCATTGTACCTAGTCAAAGAGCCTACCAATTACATAAGACACAAGGTGCTCAAGAAAGCAAATCAGAATGCGCCTAGGTTTGAAGCTCAGACACTTGAGTACAAAATAGCTTCCCAAGAGAGGAAAGCAGGTTCCCAGAAGAGGCTAATTCAGGAAAGCAGCTTGCCAGAAGAGGCGAATTCAGGGCTCAAGGATATCTAGTCGCATAGTGTGTTCTGCTAAAACATTTTAGCATTTAGTTTTGTTTCTTCCTTTCCAACGAATGCCCTCTTTATGATAAAGATTTAAGGATATCTAGTCGCATAGTGTGTTCTGCTAAAACATTTTAGCATTTAGTTTTGTTTCTTCCTTTCCAACAAATGCCCTCTTTATGGTAACGATTTAAGGACAAGTTTATTATTCAGCCGAATAAACACAAGTACACAGCCAGAGGCTAGTTTGCCAAACAGAAATGGAACCGCTACAGTAATCTCACATTGCAGACAGATAGCCAAAATAGCAGCAACAGAAACAGCCACCTCTGAGATTCGCATAAAAACTAATAGAGATAAACTGGCCAGATTACTTGCCTCGGGAAACTTATTCCCATCACGTCTTCACGAAGTAACCCATCGAAATTTGCTCGAGGATCGTCCAACAACCAGCCCAATCAAGTGGACCCTTAAACCATTTTTCAATAAAGATGGAAGAACCCGAAACATGATTAAAAGCATCACTAGTGAAGAATGTGGCTAAAATGAAAGAGGTCACATATCGTCCATTCAAATAATATTTGTCTGAGCTCAACCAAACTTGAGTTGCTCCCCCTATAAATGTAATCACCCTCTTGTTTCTTCATATCTTCTTCAGACAACTTATCAACTGTGCTAAACATGAAACTATCAAGATCGACTTCCTTGTTCCTCGGATCCATTCTGACCTGGAAAAAGAAAACCACCAAACAAGCTCCTCAACAGATCATGTCAAAGACTACTGAAAGAATGGACCAAAAACACACATGATCCTGGAAAGGGACATCTTAAGCACCTAATTCCGATACACATTAACTCGGTTTATCATCAATGCATAAAATCGTCACCACAATTCGTCAAAACCCTTACCTTGTCAAAGTTAACCACGAAGATAGAAGCAGGACTGGGCCTGTCGGGGTCTCTGTTTAGTTCGAACCCCACGGTTTCAGTGTAAAAAAATGTAGGAATAGAATTTTTGAAATACAGACTCCACAGCTGTAGCCTCCGCTTCAAACAACGAGACCTCTCTTCCCAAATCAGTCTACAATACACCTCATCCATATCAGAGATCCATCCAAAATCACAGCATTGTAGTTCGAAAATCAATTTCGGCAATTTCAATTCAAAATCCCTTTCTTACCTCCCTAGCAGATCCTGAAGGAACCATGGCCTCTTTCATTGCCTTCTCCAGTGCAATCATCTCCGCCTGCCCAGCTGTTTACACAAGTGAATTACTCATACAAGCAACAATTAGTTTTCATTCAAAGGGATGGGGGTGCTTATGCTTGCACAGCTTGACGCCGAGATTACCTGCGATATTCGGCCAGTTTAGGGTTCAAACAATCGATTGGGAGGAATCATAGGACAGGTGTGAAATATAACAGTCGAGAACGGGAAAACGAAGAAGAATAAGAGGAGGAAACAGAGTGGTTCAATTATCGCTGCCATCTTCTGAGACGGCTGGGATGATTTACAGGAGTAGGGAGGAAGAACAGGGTTATTCCCAATTCGAACAGAAAAATGGAGAAGAGAGAAGGTCCAAGGTCGGGATTTGGAGGAGAGGGGTAGGGCTGCGGGTGGGGCAAGGGTAGGTGTCCTTTCTCTTAGGGTGGTTGGGTTTTGGGTCAATTCAATAACTAAACAGAACCAACCCGATTTGGTTTACAATGGACTAAAATGAAAGAAAAACTAATTCTATGAGTTGATCTGTAATTTTATTTAATATAAATTCCGAAAAAATAAATCATTTAATCAAATTTAATCTCAGCCGTCGAGATCACACGTACGGTCAAGATCACCCAAGGTACGCCATACCCCGGAATTTACCCGGGGTACGATAGAAGCCACCTAAAGTATAATTAAAATAACTAAATATGAAAATCGAAGTATCAAAACACCAATAAGTATTGAGCGAAGATTTAGCGGCCTTAGCTAACCGTTGAAAAGTTGTGATTTTTTAATTTCAGCTTCATGTATGTTTTTTATTTAAAATGATACAACTAATCCATGTAGCATGATTGGTTAAGATTCTTATCATAGTTAGAAATATCCACGTTTAAAATACTAGTATGTGTATTTTTTTAAGAATAAACGAGAAACAAATAAATCATTATGAAAACAAAAATATTCTTCCTACTTTCACTCTCATTGCACGAAAATTTGAATGGAGTGCAGAAAAAATATTCGTACACTTATTAATGATAACTTTTGCATCGCCATCTATGACAATTGACAACGTTACACAAACAATCACGAAGCGCTATGCTTACCACTAGCCCATCACAACCCACTTTCCTACCCAGCCCATTCCCTCTCCACCACCGCCGAGCCCACCTATCTTTCAGCCCATCACCACCACACCCTGCCACTCCCCCAACCCTCTCCCTCTCTTCCTCCAAGCCCACGTACCGGCCCACCACACAACTCACCGGCGAACCCACAGCCCGCATTACGCACTCTGTTCCATCCCGTCCCTCCCATCGTCCTCGTGCTCCCTTCGCTTCTTCCCACGATTCTTCTCCACCACTTCTTCCTTCTTCTTCTTCCTCTCCATCTCAGACGCAGGCTTCCTCCCGCCGCCTTTCCTTCTCCAGCCACTCGTCTCCACCTGTTTGATTGATTTCCTCTCGAATTAGTAAATTGGGTTCGTTCCAAGGTTCCTTTAGTTCCGGCCGACCCAGAAAGGTAAATATACTGCTCTTGATCTGTCCTCGATTCTTCATTCGAATTTCGTTAGTTTTCGTTATTGGGTCCTTAGGTTTTTGTCTTAGAGGTACGATCTTTTGTTGATGTGTTGGATTTACGGTGAAACAACCTCTGAATTTCTGTTTCTGCCGCCAATTTACAACTGAATCCCACGGTGATTGAATTGTTCACCTTTAGCTGTTAATAGGGCTAACTTTACCTTTCCTTCAAGTTCAGATTTGGTTCTATGATAGTGTATATGCGGAATAGTTCTACAATTACGCCTGTGGTTACAGGATTTGCGGGATTTCATGCTGGTTCATGGATTTTGGTTCTGACAGTTTCAAGTTAATACCAATCTGAAATCTTTGCTTATGCAGTAAACTTCCATCTTCAATCTCTATATCACTTCCAATGGAAGGGTTTGGATTCAGCGATGCCAGTAGTGCTGTGAGGAAGAAGAGGAGCAGTACATCACGTCGCCCTCGGCCGGACTCTCAGCTGCCTTCTGATTACCACGACATGTCTTCCTTATCGTCCACCCCACCTTCAGAAAATGTAAGCATATAGATAATTTGCTAGGACTTTTTGTTCTATGTCTAATGTCTACAGCTTCTTCATCACAATAAAACATATGCTGCCTTCTGCAGAATGCGATGAAAGCTGAAGATGGAGGGTTTGTGGAGTCAGATGAAGCTTCCAACAACGGCTCATTAACTTCTTTTCGTGGTAGTAATGAACAGAGGCACGGTGTGGCTGATTCCCGGAGGTGCAGTGAAGGGGTACTTGCGCCAGTGAATTGGAAGAATGCTAGTGGGAACTTTGAAGCTGCTTCAGATGGAGGAGGCGCTAATGGTAACAAGGTTAAAAAGGTTAAGCTTAAGCTTGGGGGTGTTACTCGGACGATCAATGCTAATTCTGCATCGGATGGTGCGTCTGCTGTTGGGCCTTCTTCCACCAAATCTTCTCATTTCCCAGGTTCAGAACAGAAGCCTGCAAAGGTATGTAGATATATTTCCATTACTTTTTCGGTCAATCCAGCATCCTCTTTGGACTTCGTTCATATCGTTATTGTATCACAGAATGGACCTTATGCTGTGAACAATGCTATGGAAACACTCATTACTGCTTGTAATCATCTTCTTTCTTATATATCTCTTAATCTTGCTGCAGGACAGTGTAGTTGAACATAACCGTTCCATTACTTCGGATAGGGGGAGTGGCTCACGAGGAGTATGGAAGGAATTGCCTAAAAGTGGCTCAAGTGGTGGCAAAGGCGATGCGGTCAGGGTTAAGACACCTGATGAAAATCGCCCCTCACCAAAGCAGACAGATAACAGCTATGAGCCTGTCCGTAAGAGCAAACGTGTCCCAAAGAGACGTCTATTAGATGGGATGTTCGATGATGGGGGCGAGGAGGATGATGAGATTCGATACCTTGAGAAGGTCACTTATGGTATGGAATTTGAAGATGAGGATGAAGCTGGAAGCAGGAAGAAGCGGAGATTATCAAAGGTAATGAAAGCGAACGTCAACGTTGTACATGATGCTGATGCTCGAGGCTCATCGAGGTCGGGCAAAGAGGCAAAGAAGTCAAAGTCAGGCAAGGTCTCTGGAGACACTGATTATATGGATGATGACGAATTGGCTTCAGAAGGTGAGCCAATGGCTAAGAAGAAGAGACTGAGGAAAGAGTTGGCTGACATACCTGTTGTTGAACCGAAGAAGGAAATTACGATTACCACTCGTCAGAGGGCTCTTCAAACTGGCAAAGATGCATCTACTGATGTGGGTGCTGGCTTGATTGAGTTCCCTAATGGACTGCCTCCAGCGCCTCCAAAAAGTTAGTCATGGCTTCACATCTTTTGAGTAAATTTTCAGTTGATTATGCATACTCATAACCAATTCTCTTGATTTGTATGCTACCAGAACAAAAGGAGAAGCTCTCTGAAGTGGAGCAACAACTAAAGAGAGCTGAGGCGCTTCAGAGGCGTAGAATGCAGGTGGAAAAGGCAGCTAGGGAGTCTGAGGTATATGCTCACATACCATATTCCAAGCATGCTCTTTTGTTCTGTGTGAATCACTTGAGCCTTTGCTAATTGTGTTTGTTGTGATCTTGAACCTGTTTATTGGAAAACACAAAAGGCTGAGGCAATCAGAAAGATTCTGGGCCAAGATTCGAGCAGGAAGAAGCGTGAAGAGAAAGTAAAGAAGCGGCAAGAAGAAATAGCCCAGGTGTTGATCTGTTATATGCCAGAATGAGCACTCTCCGTTTTATTTGAATGAACTTTCACCAATGCTAATAATCTTTACAACTTGGAAAAATTATGTTTGCAGGAGAGAGCTGCAAACGCCATGGTTCTCCCATCTGACCGAGTGAGATGGGTAATGGGTCCTTCTGGGACAGTAGTAACATTCCCTGAAGAGGTCGGTCTTCCCAGCATATTTGATCCCAAGCCTCAAAGGTATGTTGAACTAGCGAGAACCTAACTCATTTTAACCTGTGAAAGTATGCCTAAATATTAAGAAACTTGGAACCTTAACTTAGAAGCTTACTAAGCTGACTTATTTGTTAATAAAGTAGCCACTGTCTCATTCCGTTAATCTGTGATAAATTCGGTTGACTCAACATGCCGAATAGGCTCGCCCCATTGGAAACCCTACCCACCCTCACCAGAACCATAAGTTTGCATCTCAGAATTCGTGTGTTGGACGTGAATGAGTGCTCCAGCCTCCAGGTACTGATACAGCCAAATATTGGTGACAATGATCAGCCCTTTAGTCCGGTTGCTCCTCCGAAATACTGGCATATCAGAAGTGATAAGACATAGTGACTGTTTTCACGGATATGTTCGAGTTTTCTTATGATATATTGTATTGATCATTTCGGCATGCACTTCTGGTTCGTGAATATATCTTTGTCTGCGTATGATCTGTATGGTGTTTTAAGATGCTAACTTTGGTTTCTCTTTCTCATGGGTCGATTTTGCTGATGCCAGTTATCCTCCAGCAAGAGAGAAATGTGCTGGACCATCCTGTCCCAATCCATACAAGTACAGAGATTCCAAGTCCAAGCTTCCACTTTGCAGTCTGCAATGTTATAAGGCGATCCGTGCATGATAAGGAATACCATCTTCTTCCTGATTAATCATAATAATTGACTCCGAGTGTTGATAGCATGAGATCATTAGCTGATTTGTTGTCTAATTAGCATCTCAGTTATAGTAAATGGTAAATAATGATATTGTTATTGTTATCTTTCACCAATTCTTGTAATTTTTTCCAGCTCCTGTGATTTTGCTCTCTTGTATATGTAATATGTATATGATGGCAAGTCAAGAAAGTTTAAGTTGCATTAATCTACCTCTGTCGCACGACCCTATCACTACGGTGGCCAAGACATGGAGAATTTTGCTGAAGTTCATCACCATGTTCTTTGATCTATCTTTCCAGTTCATGTTATCTATGGTTAACGATAGATAACATGAACATGGTTGTCGACTCAAACCTATTAGTATGAGATTAAGCTTGATGAGAGACTTACCATCACTACCAATCAAGATGAATTGGTGAGTTTGATGTAAAAACGTGTTGAGCTATATTTCGAAAATGTCGTTTGGGGTCAACAACACCCTAAGCGACGGTAGAAACTAGAATTTGATTATATATTATAAATAAACAACTAGAACCTCCATAGAGTGATGGCAGTTTACAATAATATTATTAATCAATAAGCTTGATTGTTTCTTTTCCTGTAGCTGGATCATCCGGAATCACAAGAATCTTTAGTTAGAATGGGATTCCAACTCAACACCTTTTGAGAAGAGTTGTTCTTTGGAGAACACAGTACGATGAAAGTTGTAAGCTCCGTTGGAGGGAGTTATTGTCTATCGTTGGCCTCTATGGTAGAATCAATCGGGGGCCCGAGAGGTAGTAGTTTACCCTGTGGCGGATGTCAGTTGTTCTTCTTTCTGTTGTTTTACTATCGTCGCCAATATCAACTAGGGATGGCAACAAAACCCGAACCCATGGGTACTCACCCGACCCAACCCGGTCAACGCGGGTAAAACTCGTGTTGACGGGTTTTGGGCCGGGTTTGGGTTTAAATCCGCGACACTATTCATCGGGTCGGGTTTGGGTTTAGGTAAACCCGCCCCATGGGTACCCGCCCCCCACATATAATTACTTTCTCGGTATATTTATTATTCTAAATAATATATCTTCCTTAAAAAACTAATATTATTTATGTTTGTGGAGACATGCATAATTTGTTCTTTCTAATTGTTTAGAATGAAGTTGATATTATGAAGTGGAGAGTGAAGAAACTTAGTTGACAAGGAAGAAGCTTTCAATTAATCTTATTGTTTATAGATGTTTATTTTTGATTTTGAACAATTTGTATTGATCATTTACGGTTTGCTTGTATGCTCTAGATTGGTGTTTTTTGTATGAATAATTTGTATGAGAAAATTAATGTTAAACTTTTATTTTGAAAAAAACTAGTTATTGTAAAATTTTTACCACAAAAACCCACGGGTACCCATGAACCCGCGAATACCCAGCGAGTTTTACCCCTTTTTTTGGCGGATAAACCCATGAGTTTGGGTTTGGGTTTGACAAAACTCGCCCCAACCCGACCCATTGCCAATTTGCCATCCCATATCAAGTATCAACGACTCCTCCAGTTGGTAGGGCCATGGGTGGCGAATATTGGGCTTCTAGGCCCAACTGATGATTTGATCTCTAGGCCCCAATTGACGGTCTTCACTCTCCCGGGCAAAAACGAGCAGCCTTCTTCTTCTTCCTTCTCAAGTTTCATTCTTTCTCGCTTCTTCTGTGTCTCCGCTCCCTTCCGCTTTCCAGAAACATTCAATTTCCCCCATCGCAGAAGAAGCTCTTCTTCTTAGCTCTCCGTTCCTTCATTGCTCTGCTTCTCTCCGTTCATGGCCGGAGCTTCGCAGAAGCACGGGCGTGATCAGCCTGTGGTATGTCTCCCCTTTTTCTTCTTTCCCATTTTCCTGTCTCTTGATTCTCTCTGCGGCTTCGTCTAGCTCTGAACCATTGAGCTTAGCAAAAACAAAAACTAAAAAATGGTTAATGGTTTCATAATTCGTTGTTTATTAGTATTTTGTTTATCTATTGGTTCAGGACTTCCAGGGATTTCTGAATGACTTGCAGGATTGGGAGCTTAATGTCAAGGATAAAGACAAAAAGATGAAGTCTTCACCTGCTTCTGATAAGGTGAATCTTGAAATTGTTGCCTCTTACTACAAAAGATAAAAAGATGCTTTGCTTGAACTATGGTTTCCCGTAGTAGGGTTTAGAAGGATCACTGTTGGTAACTGAGAAAGTGTTGTTCTATTAGACAATCTCCTAGAGATGGCGGTCAAAAAATTGGGGAAGGCGTGCGGTCATTTAGGCGAAACTGTGGAAGTGTTTTGGATTGCATGTAATGAAGTTTGCAACATTGCCATTGTTTGATGAGCACTCTCAATTTTTATAGTCTGTCTACTCTCAGATTGATGGGAATGGGAGATCGGTGCAGAAAAATTATGCGGCAGATTCTTCGAGGAGGACCATTTCCAGAGGACTTTTCGATTATTCCAGGAGCATTGGTTCGATCGGCAGGATATCAAATGATGAGGATGCAGTGGATGCTACTTCAGAGAAAGAATTGGTACGGAACTGGGTTCCATTAGCCCTAGTTCTTTGTTCTTTGTCATTTGTGTTGGTTTTGTTGATAACAAATTGATTGGGATATGGATTACCCAGGGCAATGAGTATTTTAAGCAGAAGAAATTTGCAGAAGCTATAGACTGCTACTCTCGGAGCATAGCTCTGTCACCGACTGCAGTCGCCTATGCAAATAGGGCAATGGGCTATATCAAACTCAAAAGGCGAGGATTTTTTTTTTGTTTTTGTTTCCCCGTGCTTTTTATTCTTCTAGTCCTTTGATCTCTGCTTCACCTGCAAATTGGTATAACATCTCTAGTGGGATTGGAATGATGATGAATTGATGATGTTTTATTGTTTCAGATTTCAAGAGGCCGAGGATGATTGTGCAGAGGCCTTGAATCTAGATGACCGTTACATAAAAGCATACTCGCGTAGAGCTACAGCTAGGAAAGAATTAGGAAAACTTAAGGAGTCGATGGAAGGTACAATATCCCAAATTTAAGTTTTGATCTTCTGGGATTTGGTCTATTTTGTGTGTTCTGAATCTATCACTTACTGCAGATTCTGATTTTGCCCTAAGGTTGGAACCTAATAACCAGGAAATCAAGAAACAGTATGATGAGGCAAAGTCTTTGTACGAAAACGTGAGACTTGCTCTAACTTAATCTTTTGGTTGGCTTGGTGCTGCAATTCCTAGAATTGTCCATTGATGGTTCTAGATTTTTGCAGAAACTGTTTCAAAATTTATCAGGAGGATCTAAAGCCTCCACAAAATCAGCAGCAAAATTAGGAAGGTCAGACATTAAAGTGAATGGGGATGGAGATGCTTCTGTAACTGTTTCGAGACTGTCCCAGGCTGGATCAGCAGCTGTTCGGATAGATGGGATTAAGGTTGTGCCCCTCAAAAGAGATTGTCTTTCCAAGTATGTTCATGTCTTTTCTCTGGTCTCAACTTTCTTTGGTTAACAGGAGAATGGTGGTGGAGATCTTGGGACCAAAGCTCTATCGATAGAGGAACTAGAAACCATAAGCACAGTGACTAGTAGCAGAGCTGAAAGGCAACATGTCAACAAGCCTCAAGCACCTGCTGGTCCAAGTTCTAGTTCGGAACAAGTACAGGTACAAAAGTTGAATACTTCGTTTGTCCTAGGTCTACAATATATTTTTGTAAATATTTGTTGACATTTTCTGAAGGCATTGGTCATCATAGAATTCATGTTGTTAGTAACTTTTTGTTCTTTTAACAGAATCGTAGCAAAAATGAAAAGCAAGAGCTTAAACCTTCTGTACATGAACTTGCTTCACGAGCAGCTACTCTTGCCGTGGCTGAAGCTGCAAAAAACATTACACCACCAACTTCAGCTTATCAATTTGAGGTTTCTTGGCGACGGTTTTCTGGGGATCGAGCGCTGCAGGCTCACCTGCTAAAGGTTTGTCTGTCTATGTTTAAATGTTTAAACCAACTTCTTTTAGGGTGGTTACCCTTCATTCAGAGTTGATTCCTGATTCCTTTGATTCCCCATGTTAGATTACCCCTCCAGGTGCATTACCACAGATATTCAAAAACGCATTAACTGCTCCTATGCTAATCGACATCATCAAGTGTATTTCCACATTCTTCAAGTGGGTATATTCTCCCATTTGACATCAATGGTCATTCCATCTTCAGTTATTTAAGTGAGTCCCTCATCATGAATTGTTTCGAGTTTCAGAGACAACATCGATCTGGCAGTGAAATACCTAGAGAACTTGACCAAGGTCCCAAGGTTTAGCATGCTTATCATTTCTCTTTCAACACCCGACAAGACTGGTAAGTTCTTCCAACACACTTGAGCTTTTACCTGCATGTCAAGTTTCAACATCTCTTGGACTTACTAAACTGCATCTTCTGAGCAGATCTTCACAAGATGTGGGACGAAGTATTCTGCAGCGAGGCGACTCCAATTGAGTATGTAGAGATCCTCGATAACTTGCGATCCGCATACTGCATCGGATGATTGTACCTGTAGGTGTAACATACTTCTTCCAAGGTCTAATGAGTAATGATATAATATATAAGATGTTCCTCCCCTTGTTCCCAATCTGCTTGCTTGTGTCTTCTACGTTGCGCCTTGTCATTGTAATGCGACATAGTCCTCGAGTAAAAGTGATGTATCAATAGTGATCTTACCATCACTGCTAACTAACTACATTTTTATCAGTTTTTCACAAGACGTCGGGCAAAATTGTAAAACCTTTTTTTTTATCATGGACTTAATTGAAAGGAAAATAAAAAACAGATAAAAGGTACCAAAAAGGGTATCTTATCCATCAGCAATTGGGGCGATATTGTAAATCGAGTGTTCAAATGGTTACCATTCTAATTATCAAAAGTTTCATTAATAATAAAATATAATATCTTGACCAAACTAATCAATTAATAAAACAAACAAATCATAATCTGAATAGAGCATTACATTATCATTACATGATAAAAAAATTTGTCAATTACATACAAGTTTATAAGGAAATGAGTTGAGTGTTTCTGTATAAATTGTCTTAGTCTCTTAACAGTTATCATAAGCTGAAAAACTATTTTTTTTTTCCGGGTTTTCTTTCATCATAATGTATGAGTTTTTCTCTAAATTAGAAGCTCATATTGTTGTTGCATAAACTCTATAAGAATAAATATAGTATAGGAACAATTAGAGCATCCACATCAATGCAATTCCAATTGCATATGAGGTTTCCATTATCATCTCAATATTTTTGCAAACTGCAAAGTAGTAAGTATGTGATATATAATTCAACGGAAAAAAAATTATGTGATATATAATATATTAAATATATGGTTAATTGATTTGTTGGTTAGTAGCGTCTAAAATCAAATCAAACAAGCTAAAAAATTTCATCAAATCAAACTAATTAATCAATCAAATTTTAGGAATACCATGAATTATATTAGTTATCATACATATTAGGCAAAATAAACTTGTATAGCCAAAACTTTAGCGTTTGTGCTAATAATAGCCAAATTTGGCGAAATACCACTTATAGCCACTTCCGTCCAATTCTTTAACGCTGTTAACGTTAAGTGTGACTGGGCAAACAGAGACGCTTACGTGGCGAGCTCTTATTTCCCTTTTCCTCTCTAATTGTCCATGTGGATAATAATTAATTAAAAAATTAACGCAACAAAAAACAAGAGCCCCTCATTTAACCCACCCACCTTTTCCTCTGTCCTATCCTCTTCTTCGAACACCCACCCCTTCTGAGAAAGACGCAGTCAACGAACCCCCTGATATTCCATCATCCACCATCGATCTACCCCCTCTTCCTGTCCCGATTCTCCTCCATTACTCTCTTCTGTCTGAGCTCATCTTCATCGGAAGCTAGCTCTTGGCCATTCGAACCAACCATTCCTGGCGACACTGAGCTTCGCCCCCCAACCATTCATGATTTGTACAGAGTCGCCGGCGCGGGTTGGTCTCTGCAACTTCAAGCTCGTGGTTGACGCCGCCGGTGAGAATGGAAGCGCGACAGTGGAGCCAGATCTGAGCGTGACGGTGAATGGATTGCAGATGCCTAATTCGTTCATGATCGGGTCCAGTCCCCCTCCCCTCGGGACCAACTACACTGTGATGAAGCGTGCGTTTGATGAAGGTTGGGGGTGCTGTGATTGTCAAGCGTGCGTTACTCGATTGGCGATTTGGTTTCACTCGATCGGTGCTCGACTCTTCTGAGAATTTGATTTAGGCTGCCTACCTGATAAGTCTGAGAATTAAGATCCGTTTGAGAACTATTCGTGGGGAATAGAAAATTTGGGGAAGAAGTAAGAACCCTAATTTCAAAATTGGTGGAAGGTTGGGGATGCAGCGTGATTCGTGCTAAGCAAATGGATAATAAATGGGTAATTTTTTAATTATGATATGTAAATAATAAAGAATTAAAAATATATGATGTGTCATTATTTGCTTATTTGGCGCTGACGTGTCTGTTGAGTTGGCGCCTAGTCAGCAAACCGTCAAATAAGTTGACGGTGTTATTAACACTGTTAAAGTTTCTAACGGGAATGGCTATATTTGTCCTACAAAAGTTTAAAAGCTGGCTATAAGTGGTATTTCGTCAAATTTGGCTATTATTGGCACAAACGTAAAAGTTTTGGCTATACAAGTGTATTTTGCCTACATATTAACCACTTCATTTGAACACCTCCTATTCACTAGTTGATGGATTTCCCCTCCCCTTCGCCTTTTGGGTTGTACCCATTTCCCCTATTGTAACTCCAAAAGGTCAAATGTTGACTTTTTAAATTATTGGATATGATCCCATTGGTCCAAAAACTTTAGGTTTAAAAGATGGAGTATGAATCCTATTCCTAGTAAGATAAGGATTGAGGCTTTTTTCAAACCAGAAATGCAAATAGAAAGAGATAGAATCCAGCAAAAGAAAAATATTGAGTTCTTGACTACTATACATATGGATTTATTGATTTACAGAATAAAGTATCTTGAACGTAGAGACATATAAGCCATACCTATGGCTCTCTGGAGAACAGTGAAGAACAACATCAACAAGTACGTAGTTACATAAAGTACTTCACAAAGCTATCTTACAAGCATAAATATATGCATTAAGTAGTATTGCATGCATGCCAATTGTATAGTAAAAGCTTTGGTTTTAGGCAGTAGGGTAAGAAGCTTGCATCGCAATGCCGCATATGCCTTCCTTTGCAGGAATATCTCTCTGCATTCGGATGTATCCTTCCTCTCCCCATTGAGCTCCCCAAGAGTTCTTGATCAGCCAGTACTTCATCCCGCCGCTCTCACCATATCCGACAGCGGTCACTCCATGGTCCAATTCAGTCCCACATTCTCCAGTGAATATCCCGCTCTCGTAGAGCTGGAACGAGGAATCCCCTGCATCAATTGCCACGGAAATCGGTTGACTAGCTACCGCCTTCAGCAATGCGGATTCGCTGTTGGCTGGCACATCTTCATACCCTTTGATCGTAGCCGCGTGGTTGCCTTCTTTGCTAGCACTGCAGGATCCATCGGCAGCACTGTACGGATAGTTGCTCTCGGTAGTCAAACCCTTGTTCTGGATGATGAATTTGAAAGCATCATCCATCAACCCGCCGCTGCAACCTTGGTCCTCTCCTTTGGTGTCACAGTCAACCAATTCTTGCTCCGAAAGGGATACCAATTTGCCGGTACTAAGCTGAGTGATTCCTTCCATGGCCCCAACAGCTGAAAACGCCCAGCAGCTTCCGCACTGACCCTGATCTTTGATTGGAGTGACGGCTCCCTTCTTCCTCCAGTCCATGGTGGTGGGCACTGCGGTCACGTTTTCGTACCTGAAGGGTCCCTGCTGCGCCGAACACATGTGGCCCTTGAACCTGTTCCTGGTTGCTCTGAACTCCTCGTTCGTGAGATCAGCAAACTGGTTGGTACCTAGCTTGTAAGGCTTGTCTCCGGCGGCATTGAACGAGTCGACGATATCTGCATTGTCCTTGAATATCTGGTACCGTGCCTCCTTCTCATTTGAACTCCTGTAAACTCGCCCAAAACGAGCCATCCACTGCTCGTGCCTAAGGCGCATGGCGGCCTCGTGAGGGGCAGAGCGTGCCATGGCTTGAGAAGCCAGAGCTCCCAGAATGAAGATGGAAGCGAGGAAGAACAACTTGCTATTCATCAGGATTGACATTTGGGAATTGCTTGTGGGCTCCTAATTAGTGAGGTGTATGATGAACTAAAAGAGAGGGTTTGTGACTTCTCTTAGGCTGACATGCTCTGCTTTTATAGGGTGATGATCAATCAACTTTACATATAGTGAGCTGATTGTATTCAGATTGTGGAAGTTGAAGGTTGATGATTGCATATATTATTCTGAATTCGCATTGTATGCTTCATATCAACGTGACTTGCAAGTTGCAATACGTTTTGATTTGGACCATACTAATCACTATTGATTTAGTGTTCAATTCATCAACAAGTAAGTAAACTTTAGTGTTCATCCATTCAATTCATCAACTAGTAATCTGTCTTTTTATCTATTTTGTCATTTCAAAAGCCAATGTAAACACAAATATCTATGAATATTATTAAACATATAACTGTGTTACTGTTTCATTACGGGTTTGCTAATATGAGCAACAGTCATTATATTTTGTCACCCACAAAAACTCCACATCTTCTGCTGCCACGTAAGTGTGTGACCTTTAGTTTGTGACTTTGTGGCATCTTTTCTATTTTTCGGTTTGCAGGGATTAATATTTTTACTAGGGGTTTGCTAATATGATCGGCAGCGGTCATTATATTTTGCTCACCCACAAAATATATTTGAAGTAAATTTACTTAATATGACATTTTTAATAGCAAATAATCATGTGTACAATATTTAACATCGATTCGTAAACGTTTATATTTGAATCTAACAAATAATGCAAACATTTAGCTTTTAAATTCATAAAATAAAGAATACATTATTTTTCTATAAGTAAATTCATTAAAACGATGTCATTCTATTTAGAATTTATGAATATTATTAAACATATAACTGGGTTACGGTTTCATTAGGGGTTTGCTAATATGAGCAGCAGTCATTATATTTTGTCACCCACAAAAACTCCACATCCTCTGCTGCCACGTAAGTGTGTGACCTTTAGTTTTTGGCATATTTTCTATTTTTTGGTTTGCAGGAATTAATTGTTTTATTAGGGGTTTGCTAATATGATAGACAGCGGTCATTATATTTTGCTCACCCACAAAATATATTTGAAGAAAATTTACTTAATATGACATTTTTAATAGCAAATAATCACGTGTACAATATTTAACATCGATTCGTAAACGTTTATAATTGAATCTAACAAATAATGCAAACATTTAGCTTTTAAATTCATAAAATAAAGAATACATTATTTTTATATTAAGTAAATTCATTAAAACGATGTCATTCTATTTAGAAATCTTAAATCAATTATGTCAGTCATACTCATACCGGTTATGTTTGTGCCAGTTTCATAATCGACACCGGTTGAACCATACCAAAAGTATGACAATCATGATAGCAACAAAACATGCAGAGAACAACGAGACCACACAACAATTACTATATATCTATTTTTTATGCAAAAGGTACGATATTTTCCTAACCAAACCATAACATCATATTCTGCGGGCAGATTTAAATTGACGGGTCGGCAAAAATCAGAACAAAATTGCACCCCAGCCGCTGCGGAGCGAGGCCAGGTCTCCTCTAGTGCTGTATTAAAATTGAAAAGGATCCCCGTCAAAAAAAAAAAAATTTAAAAGGATTAATTATTTCATGGCATTAACTACATAAGAGTTAAGAGGTTGGCGTGGGGTGGGGTGGGGTGGGGTGGGTCAAAGTCGGCAATTACTAGCCAAGGGTCGAATCGGGCTTGGTAAGTTCCGGATTGCGAGTTAAAATTTGTCGGAAAAGCACTACAATTTGATAAACAAGTTAAGGTCATACAAGTTTTGGGTCAAGGTGCCAAAAATGGATTATCCAGATAACATATGAAGAATTTCTAACATGAATCAACTCGAGCCAGTTTCATGGGTCATATTTAGTCAAGATGGGTCAGGTATGTTTGATTATGAGTGAAGTCTGTTAGTATGAGTTGCAAGTCAACATTGGTCGAGTGATGTTAGCGGTTGAGTTGTGATTCAAAAGACACATACGGGTCGCTTAGTGATGATAATGATAATTATATTCGTAGATATTAATTTGAATTTGACTTAATTGGGTGAGTAAAAGTCGAACTCAAAAATTTATTTTTTATGGGTATGGATAAAACTCGAACCTAAATATTATGAGTGATAGATGTGTATGATTTTCTCATTATCCAACCTAACATAATATATCCAAATATACATATACATATATATTTTGTTTAAAAATTATCATTATTTTCTCAACATATTTTATATTTATCATACACATATAATATTTTTATGAAATTATATTATTTTTAATTAATTTTCTTTAGTTTAGTGATTTATTGTTGTAATTTGTCACTTACGTCATGTTAATATATATGTAATTATTAACATTTCTTTCCATTGTTAACAAGAGGTGATCATTTTGTAATTAACCAAAGTTTGATGGAGTATTTATGTGATTAAGGTTCTAATGAATTTACTTATAACAATTGAATCCAAATTGTTTCTAATTAGTTAACTTATGACAATTGAGTCCAAATTGAACCAAATCAATGGGTATTCGAACTACTTCGACCCGGTTTAAGCGAGTTTAACTTAGAGTTTACACAGTTTGGTTGAACGACGTGTTTTGCATGCTTGGCGGAACTTTTTGTATTTTTCCTATAAAAGAACAAGTAACCAAATTACTATTGCATAGTGTCCCATCACAAGGGGGTGATCATTTTGTAATTAACCAAAGTTTGGTGGAGTAGTTGTGTGATTAAGGTTCTAATGAATTTACTTATAACAATTGAGTCCAAATTGTTTCTAATTAGTTAGCTTATGACAATTGAGTCCATGAACCAAATCAATGGGTATTCGAACTACTTCGACCCGGTTTAAGCGAGTTTAACCTAGTGTTTACACAGTTTGGTTGAACGACGTGTTTTCACTCTTGGAGGATTTTTTGGTGGCATTGAAGCTTGGAGGAGTTTTCGTGCCATTAAGATTATAATTAATTAACTTATGACAATTGAACCCATATTGAATCCAAATCGATGATTTTTGGTGGCATTGAAGCTTGGACGAGTTTTTTGTCTCTAAGGTTCTAATTAATTAACTTATGACAATTAAACTTAAATTGAATCCAAATTAATGGGTATTTTCCCTACTCGAACCCGATTAAAGCGAGTTTTGCACGCTTAAATCATTGGGTATTTTATCTAATTCAACCCGGTTAAACCAAGTTGAAGCCGGTTTATGATTTTTGGGTTGACAACGGGTTTTACACGCTTAAATCAATGCCCATTGGACCTAATGTTGAGCCGGTTAAAGCAAATTGAACCCGGTGTTGACGAATTTGTTTCTAACCACAAAGGAGTTTTTGTAGGTTCTAATTAATCATCTTATGATAATTGAACCCGAATTGATCACACATCAAACGATCGTTCGACCTAAATCGACCTGCGTTTACGCCGATTTTACGAATTTTGGGTTGCCAACGAGTTCTACACACTTGAATCGATGCTCATTCCATTTGACTTAATGTTGAGCCGGTTAAAGCGAGTTGAACGGTGTTGACGAATTGTATTCTCCCCGTGTTTGATTGTTCTTTCCTTGTAACGTGAGTGTTAACGAAATAAAGAAAAAAAAAATGCAGTGTAACCCCTGGATTTGGTTTGAGAAATGCAAGATTGACGATGGAATTAGGTCATTAATGGATTTGAAAATAATGATGGATTTGTTAATGAATTTTTATGAATTAGATTTGTGAGTTTAAAGATGATATTACCTTACTACTCTTAAAAGTTGGAGTAAAAAAAACGGGAATAAAGTAGTCATTATCATTATTTTTTTCGTTGAGTTGGAGTAGTCATTAAACATCACGAATTTAATCACATTTTTCAAATCTTACATATTAATGTGGATTTTCCAAATTTTGTGACCCATGAACTTTTTTTTTTTTTGCGTTACAGTAGGCTGAAAGCCAAAGAAAGAAGATTACAAGGGGGGCGCCGAGAGGTGGGGAGGAGAAGAAAATTTTGCGATCACTTGTCGCTCGAAAGTGATGCCCATGTTGTCCTCTGGTAAAAAACTCCCTAAGCCTTGGGGAGGGTTTGCAAGCTCATGCATACCATAGGGATAGACGAGACTATGCTTCGAGAGCCAGTCCGCAACTCTATTCCCCTCCCGTTATGTATGAGAAATACTCACCAGCCAGTCTTGGCTTAGTTTCCTGCGAATAGCTGAGAGCAGAGTGGAGTGGGGATGAACCTGGTCCAGCCGATTGTTAATAAGCTCAATAGCTAACCTTGAGTCTGATTCAATCTTCAGAGTGCGACAACCTCTGTTCCAAGCAACTTCAAGACCATGAAAAACAACCCATAATTCCGCAAGAGCAGCAGACGCCGTTCCTATATTGCCCACAAATCCATAAATCCAGCGCCCTGAGCTGTCCCGAATGCACCCCCCCCCCCTGTACTAGCTGGTCATGGATTACCACAAGACGCACCATCAATGTTAAGAGTACACCAGCCTTGAGGAGGGGGCTTCCAACCAATATCCTGCATAACCCTTGTTGCCGGTTTAGATCTACTGCAAGGCAAAGCTGTCGGAGCGTGCCAGGCATCATGCCAAAGCTTTGCTTTAGCAATGATAGAGTGTGCCAGAGAGGGAGGAGAGAGGACGGCAACAAGACCCTTGAAGCAAGCATCGCATCTACTCTTCCAGAGACACCAGGTTGCGACACCAAAAAAAGCAGCCCACTGCATTCTCGGAGGACTAGCTTCTGAGTTGCTAAGGTTCTCTCGCAGCCAAACGCACTGCTCTGCGCTGAAAAAAGAATTTTGCTTTGCAATAGGGACATGTATGCTCCAGAAGAAGAGAGCTTGAGGGCAATCGCGAAGCACATGGAGGATGCTTTCAGGCTGTCCCTGGCAGCGCACGTAGTCCGGGCTGGGAGCTGATTTCCTGCAAAAATGAAGCTGATTAATTGCAATTCAACCAAGACACGTCAGCCAGAGGAAACTCCTAACG